CAGCAGCAAAATACACCATCTTGCTGAATGGATCCACACACGAGAACAACATTATTCTTGTGGTCGGTGATACCAAAGACTAAGTCCAAGGAAACATACTTCCAGCACTCTTAAGAAGACAGGGTGAGGCTGTAAAGTGCACAGAAAGAAAGAATAGGCTTCACACGTTGTTAATCTTGCAAGCACAAATTTACTTGCAAACAAACTGATGGTGGCGGGGCCAGTAAAATTTACGACCTACTATAATGTTATCTTCCTACCACGATGGCCACATGTTGGGCCATCGTGACACTCATACATGATGCGCAAGTGCAATTTGTTATGAGCGGGGACGACAACACGAGGTGGTTCGCCGGCAATGGCTTTATAGTACAGCATCCCGTTGGGTGTTGCGTACTGATTTGGTGAGAACTGGTACAAAGCCGATGTATCATCAATGAATTACGAGTTTAAATTACCAGATTATTCGTTAAGAGCAGAAGATTCTTATCTTCTGTGTATACATTTCTTGCGTCGTCATGTTAAGTTGACGACGGGACACTGACTGTTAGTGTCGCAGCAGTGGGCTTCTCCACACTTTGGGTTACGCGCCCGGCTCGAAATCGGGTTGGCACAAAAGTGAAACAGCGACGACATTCAGTCGTCTTAGTATATAGACGGAAAAGTTGTACTACGCGATAAATACAGCCACCTCCTCAACTCTTGCAAGACATGTGGACTGTTTCTGGCCGTGCTTAGCAACGCACGGTCCGTACAGACGATGAACGGTCTATCTCAAAGGGATAGAAACGAACCTAAGCCAGTGCATATTTATAGCAAGGAGTTCCTAGTCATGAACTGGGTAATTACGCTTATCGTCTTGCAGCTGACGAGATTAATAGCAGATGACGCTCTCTTCGCTATATATATAAAATTGCGTCAGTGCAAAGCCAATCGCAAAATTGCTGGCATCACAGACCACGTGGAATAGTCTATCCTGATCTGCAATCGCCAGTTTAAGCAATTGCATCAAGCTCTGCTTGATACCTTCAAAGGAACGCTGACAATCAGTGTTCCATGACTACTTACAATTTTCCCGAATGTAAAAGGAATATGCACATTCATCCCGGCGTAGTTGCGCGAGTACTTATGTAAGTTCGCCGCTAGACATAGGAACTGCCTGAGTTTCTTAATTACGACTGGCACACGCAAGGTGGTGATTGCCTTAATCGTTTTAGGATCATAGCGTACGCCGTGTCTATTCATGATGCATTCAAGTAGTGGTTTTTTTTGCTAACAGCGAAGGTGCATTTCTTGGGGTTGGCATACAGCTTATGCTTTCGCACAAGTGTAAAAATTTGACGAACGTGTTTTTTGTGAACCTCTACGTCCGTGTTTTCATCCATAGACCGGCAATGGACGAGAACATCTTCAAAGTAATCGTGTGCAAAATCTTGCACCGGTTTAACAAAAACGTTCCACATCTATTGCACGTGAAAGGGGAGTCACTCAGCTCCTGTGGCATAACTAGCCACTACAACAGTACAACGCGGGGAGGGAGGGGGGTGCGCGCTGCTGTGTGCGGGATGTACCATTCACACATGAGGATCTGATAGAAACCGTCCATCAGATCCAGAGACGAAAAGATGGTATTTTTGACATACATTCAATATTGCGTCCTTCCTCGATCGGGATTTGAGCCGGTACAATTGCAGCATTCGAATTGTTGAATGCGTGCACTATCCGACATTCCCCTATGGACCTTCGCTCACAGAAGGTCGTAGAGCTGTGAGGGAAAGGTCCTTTTCTCACATGGCCCGCTTTAGAGCGACAGAACTTGTCTACGAGGCATTGGTCACTGCTTCAAGACACAGTACTTCGAGCACGGTTTGATCTCTATTTTGTGTCGATTGCATTTCCATTCAGGCAACTCGCATGACATAGATTAATGGAATGTATCCTTAAATTCAATCAAATCCTTATACGAAGGATTTGCCCGGAGTGCCCCCCAGGGTTGAGGCGTGTATCGTTCATCAAGTCTTTTCATCGAGAACACTTTCAGAAATATATGAGCTGATAGGAATCCGTTCGTTCTTAGTAAATACAAGTGCGGACTGAATCCAGTCACGTACTTTTCCTCTGTGACGGTTACACAGATCTTCTTGACTTTATTACTACGTAGATCTCGCAAAAATTGTTTAGGTTCTGGTGTTGAATTGTGTGATCTCAAAGTCAATTTCGGAGGTGCGGGCGGATCTTGACCAAGTCACTTTATGTCTCGGTTTATTCCTACAAACTTATTTACTTAGATTGATGAGAGCCTGTTCTCTCAGCATGTTACTCTTAAAAAAATTTTTTTTGTATCTAAGTCGGGACCTATTCTCTCGACGTCTTTAACCGTGGCTGTGCAACCACAGTCAGGTACCGATCCTCTGTTGTCGACTATCCATTCGACCTAGGATGACCGTGTTGCCCTTTTTTGGCAACCGGTCTCTTCTCTATAAGATGTTGCCCGCTAGGCGTGCATCCAAGTGCCGGTTTACTCGACTTTTTCGTGTAGTAAACCTTTGGCGCTGCCCGTACTTTTTTACAGACGCCAGGAGCTTGCTATATGGTGTAGGGACTGCTACACTGAGGTTTTGTGCACTCGTGATAACTACCGTACCAGAATTGAAGCCATCACACGCACTCGCAGTATATGTACACGCTTGTGGACACTCCATGACGTTCATTAGATGGCCATGTAATGAAAAAGCGGCAGCTACATTCACGGATTTATGCTTCCAGCTCACTAATAACTCGTACCTTCTGAGCCAAGGTAATTCCAGGATGACATCAAGAGTCCATCTGGATCCAGTACAATGAAATCATTATCGTACTGTTCACAGTCTAATTGTAGTGCATCTCTACTACATCTTTCGTAATTGTTATCGAAGCGCCTGTGGCAGGGCACACCGTCATCCTCGTTAGAGGGATGTCGTGCCTAACTAACTTGAGCCTTCGACCCTCTAGTGACTGATAACGAACAAAGCTGTTTAACGCCTCACCGTCAATTAGATCACGAAGTGACAAATCCTTTGTCACTTGGAACTTTAACGTGATGAGTGATATCTCATTACCAGGTGCAGACACACACAAAGATGTGTATCTAAAGCAACTTTTGTCAAGAAATTAGAAAAATCTCTCGAGCTGTTGAATCAATAGGGCGTTCCGCTCCTGTGGACCGAAACTTATTTGATGATCCACTTCACTGCTGCGGTTTCGCAACAGCGTTAAACGTACGCCCATTAAATTTCTGGCAAATGGCCGATCATTAATGCTCAGTACTGTTTAGTATTGGGCGTGGGGCACTACACTCGCAAGCGTAATGTCTTTAATTTCGGCGGCGATTGCACTTCTGCAATCGCTTGTTGTTAAAAGAGCGAGGTATGTCGCTCTCAGCATAACAGAGGTCCATTTATTCTGGACCTCCAGTTTCTTGTCGCTCTCGGGTGGACGAAAAGAGCTCGCGATAGCATGAGCTTTTCCCATGCTAAAGTCCTTCTGTTCCGTAGATGAAAATGCTTGTATGAACGTATCCAGATCCAAGCGAAATATGTGGTTCCTGACGGGCCCATCTGAAAGTCCTTGCATTGACACAGTAATCAGCGTGTGTTTATGCACTGATTTAGCAGTTATACTGCTCTTGAGGAGTCGTGTATGTTAAGCGTAAGGGTACACATCTCACTTACCCTGCTTGAGCTTCAGCAGCTCTGATCAATTCCTGAACTCAGCTCATGGCGGCTCAAAGTTCTGTTTTAGCCGAATTTCTAAGTCTTCCTGCTACTCAAAAGCATATGGGTTGCTCATCTACAGCCTTATGACCCAAGTCTTGGCACTTCTCGCCGTGTGGGTTGGCAAATGTGAGCTCATTTACTCATCGTCGATATGACATACCTTTATGGCTCTGTCTAGTTTGACGAACCATAACAACAGTGAGTATTTATCGACTCCTCTGTATTTGGATTTATCAACCTTCCAGATTTTGGTACAACGCGTGTGTGTCGTCCCGACCACATCAGCATCGAATTGCTGCTGTCTTAAAAAGCTATGTCTATTGAGCACCAAGTTCTCTCAACTGCTCGGCCCGTGGAGAGCCTTGCTACTGAAGCAAGGATACTTTCTCTCTTTCGGCGACAAGTTCATTTTCGAGTGAACTTGGCTATAGCAGCATGTTGTCGGTCTCTGTCAAGAGACTTCAACATGACGCTGGTGGCGGTTTCTCCTACGGTAGAACCAATTTGTCTTATCGCTCTCCATTAGATGTCACTCAAATGGGTAAGGCCTTCATGCGTGGCCTGAAATCTCTCCTTCTCATCCAAGGTGTTCATGTCAGATGAAGTGGGAGCGGTCAAGGGACGGACTACAAAGTGCTACCAGGTGTAACGAAGCACGCTCTTACGTAACACCTTGTGTTGACTGAACACAAGGATGCGTGCTCCTGACGTCAGGTAAACGGTGGCATGAGGAAGCGCAGCAAAGTAAACACAACTAAGAGCTCTGTTAGAAAAAAAGTAGAATTGTATTCATTATAGTTAAGTTTCTTTGTAAATCATCTTTGTCTTGACCTAACTAAATTAAGCTACAATCTCCTATGTGGGTTTCTTGCCCACCACCCATTTTGCGCGCGTTTAGCAGCGATTGGTGATTAATTTGGTTGATGTAGTGTCTGCATCAGCGAAAAGTGAAGCACCCCATAATATTACCCTTCGGGGGTAACATTTCGCCAACTTCACCTCTTCGCAAGTGATGCTGATTGAATGTTATCTAAATAGATGAGAATCAAAAATTGATGCATTCGTATCAATTTATTGCAACGCGGTTCACCCCGTTTAACATCAGTGATCAACGTCAATTACTGCACATTGTAGTGAATTTAAGACAAGTGCGCACGATGAGTGCATTGTACCGCCCAATTGTGCTCAATTTTTACAAAACGGCACATGCATCCACTTACGAGCCCAAAAAGAGGCGAAAACTTGATGCCGATTAAGAAAATCGAAACGGGGATGGGGATATTCACGCCATCAGCGACCATCAACTACAACTTCATTGCGGGCGTGTACGCTTTCTTTGTTGCGATCTGTGCTCTGCTGCTGGCGATCCATCTCTACTCATCGCAACTGGAGGGGTTTTACGTCGTTCTCGTGCCGTTCGTTCCCTGCTTTATCTGGAGCCTCGTGGTGCGCCACCGCTGGTTAAAACAGTCGACGACCGCAGATGAGACGGCAGTCGAATTGAAAAAGAAACACTGAGGCGCGCTGAGCACAGAACGATGAAGAACCGAGGGGACGTGGATAGAGACTTTCAGGGTGGACACAAGACGTCGTGCGGTTTCGAAGAGATTGAACTGGACGACGGGTGATCAGGGTTTGAACAGATAATGAAGTGGTGTAAATTCAACCGGACTTGACCGGTAGAAACGGTTGTGACTGAACCACGACGGGAGTAAAGTCTTATTTAAACCTTTGCACGACTGCATTTGCACCATCATACTTTCAGTTACTACTACTGAAGTCTAGTATACGTTGAAGCACAAACGCTTACAAGCGCAGCAGTAACACATGCTTTTTACGTTCGACGATCTCCACTGTTGGACGATGCATTCGTTCGCGCGATTCAAATTGTTACAGCTATAGATCAGTAGAAAAGACGCACACAATCACGTATGAGTTGTCCAGTCTGTACTATTGTTGCTCGCCCTGTATACGCGTAATGATACGTCAGAGCTCCCCCTGCTCGTTGCCAATGCTCAATCTCCTTTTTACGCAGTGATGCTCAACTCGTTGCAGTCACCTCATCCCACTCATACCCGAGCACGCGCGCCATGAAGCCTGATTTCGACTCCTTCTGAGCACTTCGCATCTTAAACACGGCATGACAAGTACGACACACGCGCTGTGGATCCTTTACCTGCTTGCCACCGCTCGTCATGCGCCCAGGAAAGTCCTTCGGAAACCGATGCATTTCCACAGTGAATGCTGAACAGTCCGAGCAGCACACCCGTCCGCAGTGCCGACAGTGGTGACGGCGACTGCCAAACTTGAAGTTCGATCCACACAGCATGCACGAGCGACGCTCCTTCTCATCAATCCACGTGGGAGGCTGGGTGATCGCACTAAATAGTTTCTTCAAATACTTTTTGTTCGCCACCTCAACGACCATCCGCCCCTTGGCGTCAGGCACATTCAGCGATCCACCGTACTTAATTAGCACACAGGCAATGTCAATCAACTCCCGCTCCACGGCAACGTGCAAGAGCGTGGAGCCATCGGCCAACTGGACGTTTGCGTCAGCTCCTCGAACGAGAAATAGTTCCGTGATAGCCGGGTCAGTTTGACGAGTCGTCATAATGTGTACGACCAACGGAGTCTGGAACCGGGCATTCACCTTGTCGACTTCACCGCCATGTTTAATCAAGTAATCGACGAGGCGGTACCCATTCTTACGATCGCGAGAGACGGCAAAATGAAGTGCATTGTTGTCATTGCGATCCGTCAAAAGAATCAAATTCTGGATCTCATCGGACTTGCATAATTCCATCACGATTTGGTAGTGACCCTTTCGTACAGCCAAGTGTAGTGCTGTCTGGTGATGCTTCAGCTCGCGGAACAACACGTCCGCCCTAAAGTGCAGCAGCAATTTTACAGTCTTGGCGTCACCACGGTCCACAGCATCAATCAAAGCAGTTCGGCCATCAGCGTTCACAATGTTGGGTGTACAACCGGCTTCCAGCAGCATTCGAGCTATACGAGGCTCCTTGGTCAAATGCAAAGGCGTGTTGCCATCGTCATCCTGTACGATATAATCGGCTCCCCAGTCAAGAAGGATGCCAACAACCTCAATGTTCTGATAAAGGGATGCAGTGTGTAGCGGAGTACGGCCTCGACGATTGCAAGCGTTAATGTCGGAACCATTCTGGAGTAGCTTCAGCACATCTTGCTCATTACAGCAATTAGCAGCCACGTGCAACACTGTATCGCCCGGGTCCATCGCAACTTGACGGGACGTGCTTGGCATAGGCTGGTCGTCGTCAGTATAATCCTTAGTAAAACGAAAACGAGATACTGCCCGATTGCCAACTTCCTCGTTCGAGCCTCCGGAAAAATTGGGGAGTTTCATAGATGAACCCCGGTCTCCTTCCGAAGAATCATCCGACACTGGGTCGGATGACGCAGATTGAGCAGTGAGACGATTTTGCTCCTCCAGCTCAGCAGCCTTGCGATTTTCGTCCACCAAACGCTGTTCTTCACTAGCCCGCCGTTCCTCGTCGCGCTGCTTCTTCTCTGCAAGCACCTTCTGACGTAATATCTCAGCCTGTTTCTTACGATGGTTTTCTCGTAGCACGTAGAACCGGCAACGCGTGTTAAATCCACGAATCACCTTTTGCACGACCACAGCCGATACCCGCATACGAGCATAGTGGCGACGGGCGATCAGACCGCGGACAGCAGCCTGAATAAGCACCACAAACTCACCATAGCGTTTGGCCAATTGAGCCTCCACAAATTGGATAGCTGAACGGCGGAAGAACACACGAGTAAGACCAACTTGTATGCCGTTTACAGCCGTCTCCTGTTTGTTTTCCGACGCTGCTCCTAATAGCTCTGGGTACCGTTCTGCATGAGCCTTCACCAAAAATTCCACCAACAGACTTGCGGCCTTCTTCTGCTCATCGATATCAAAAAAATCTTCACCTGATTCCGCTGGAATGCGTTGTAAATATTCGCCATTTGCCAGAGGACGGTAACGCTTGATGAACTGCTGGTGGGCAATACGGACAGGGTAGCCAGCACGGTTGACACGGACAGCTTCTAGCACACCGCCAGCCTTCAATTGGTCACACACTCGCTTCGGTACCAACAAGTTGGCTTCTGCCTTATCGTTTGGCTTCAGACAGCGCACATAATGGCAGTCAGTGACATTAATTGTCTCCAGCAGCGTCTTCAGCTGATTTCGAAACTGTGACCCCAAACTCACGCGGGTTGCATTGCTCGAGGCTCTACCTTTTGGCTTCCGGACCGATACCTTACTTTCCATAGAAGCCTTCAAGAGCCCACGCACGAACGGCTTGGATGATCGCTCAATAATAGCGGTAATCTCAGGGTACAAAATGTCTTTGTTCTTCTCGCAAAATCCAAACGTATCATACGTGACTGCCCCTGCGTAATGGTGAACGACAAACAAATGGTTGGCCATTTCAGTCTTGCTTGCACTAAAGTGCGGATTCACACCGTGTTGGCGATACAGCTTCCGTGAAAAGTTCTGATCGTTACCCTGCGGAACAATACACTCTTCATCAAGAGCTGGAAGAATGCCAAACGGTTTACTCTGAATCAGGTCAATGCATGGACCGTTGTCGGGGAAATTGATAAAGCTCCACTGAATCTCCTCCTTCTCGTACGTCTCCTGCTCCATTCGGAGCACAGTCAAATTAAAGTGCTGCTGCAAAGTCTCGTTGGCATAGTTAATACACAGCTGCTCAAACGAGTTGTGCTCCAAGTCTTCGAACCCGAAAATATCCAAAAGACCGATAAACGGGACGCCGCGGGTGTCGTTTTCCACGATATCGTTGATACGGCAGACCAACCAATCGAACAACTTTCCGTACAAGAAACGAGCAAGCGCATCACGAACGTTCTCAGCAGCACTCGGCAGCAAACCAATCGAGTAATGCTCGTCTTTTGTTTGAATATTGCGATTGCATATAGCCTGCTCCAGACCCTGCTTGTCGGTCTCCAAATAGTCGAGTACCACCTTCATTGAGTCGTTGCACGTGCTAGAAATCTCCGAGCCTTCCGTACCGGACGCTTGGTGGATCTCGTCAAAGTCCAAGTTACCAATGTGCAACAGGGCTGAAATAGTGACGAAGATGCTCTCCATATCGTCCTCATTGAAACCCATCGTCTGCATGGCAGTTTTCAACACTATAAACTGCTCCGCATCGTTTACACCATCCTTTCGCTTGACGCATGTGCTTTGGTTCAAGTAGTGAAACGTATTCAATGCTTTCAAATTCCATCGCTTCTTCTCCTCTGCAGTAGCACCAGCAACAATCTCATAAAAAATGTGGTAATTCCGTTCCGACTCGGCTTGATAGGCAAGACGCACTTTCTCGAGCAGGTACGTCTGGATCGAAGCGCCGATAAGACTACCCTCCGCTGAAAACTCCATCTTGATGAACTTTCCAAAACGACTGCTATTGTCATTGCGAATAGTTCGCGCGTTACCAAACGATTCCAAAATCGGGTTCGACGACAGGACCTGCTTCATAACACCGCTTTCTGCAGACGTGTTCTTGTGTTGCGAGATCGTTGCGAGGTAGTTCATCACAAACTTGGTGGTCTCCGTCTTCCCAGCTCCACTCTCTCCGCTGACAAGAATCGACTGATTCACAGCAGATCCACGCGCGCCGTGTCCGATCGGACTCATCAGTGAGCGGTAGGCCTTGTCCGCAATGCTGTAGACGTGCGGTGGCATGTCAGGCACGTCTTGTCCAAGCACGCGCTTGTCTCCATTGCGAATATACTTGCGCGTGATCTTGTCCGTATAGATGCCGAGAGGTTGGAACGGGTTGATCGCTAGCAAAATCTCGCCCGTGAGTGTGTAAATCTCATTGATCTTGAAGCGCTCGCTCAGCGTGTGACAAATGCCGGGCTCATGAAGGTGCGGCAATTGAATCAAATCTTCCACAACGTCCTGTCCACACCAGCGAAAGTAGACACAAAAAATGCATACACCATTTGTCAGTTCAGTACGTAACCATCAGACCCCCCTCCCCTACACACACACGACCATCACTCCGGCACCACTCACCATGTCGCTGCTGTTCGCAAGCAGCACGCCATCGACCTCCTCGTTCTCGAGCGCCTGCACATCAATCGCCATCGTCCTGTCCGTCTTAGCGTGCGGTCCTTCGCTCACGCGCAGCGTCACCGCGCGCGCGTCTGAATCATTCTGTGGCTCCTCGAGTCGGACGACCGTAGCACGATGCCACTCGTCCGTCTCCTGGTCACGTAGCCAGACGCCCACGCCTTTCTCCATCGCTGTGTCAAGAAACGACTACAGACCTGCGCGTTCGGTCGGGGTAAGCGAGACTAGTGCGCGCTCCTAGACAAAAGTCCTGCGTGTGTGTGTGTGTGTTGACTACGTGCCTGTGTTGACTACGTGTGTGGAAGTGGCTGGCCGAAAGACGCCACTGGGGGAGGGCAAAATCGAGAGTGGCAGCGCTGGACAGGAAGCGGCTTTTGCGGTTGTGCCCTCAATCGTTGAATTTCGATCCGACTCGCGTCTGTTTTGACGAAAGAGGAGGAATCGACGAAAAGACAGTAGGAGCAGGTGGGTACACGCTTGGCGAGAGTCAGTGAATCCAAGCAGTCTAGAGACAATCCCGCGAAACCGTTTCGCAAAAAGGACTCGAGCGAGACTCGGTCCGAGTGTTCTCGTCCAGCGTTCTGACCAGGCCGCACTGGCTCTTTCGACGAGCGCTTTTTGCGTGCTGGCCGCGAAAACGAATTAAATTGACGCGTGGATTTTCCGACTGATTTGCTACAACTCGAAAAAACGGCCGCAACGAGATACCGTCGAGCGGTATAAGCGACGCTAACGAGGCTCTTGAATGGATGGCAGACCATGGCGAAGCAAGGTTTTTGACTGTCAAGTACGTGGTCAGCCCGCGAGAAACTACAGTGTAGTGCAGCACGTATCGATAGTGCTGGATTCACAGCGTGTATTGGACAAAGCTTTAGAGCACGCTATCTCGTTTCGTCTCTTTTTCTGTAAACGAGGTCGACCTGATCGGCACTAGCGGTGGATTTGATATTCCTGTACAATGGTGCGACAATGTGCGTGTACGAAAAGGGTCTTTTTTGTTTACTAATCCCTTCAAAGTCGGCTTGGAAAACCAACTCGCTATGCGACAACACGACCATGGACAGAGGGTGGCCACGAGTCACCGACTTGTCTTCACTTTTGCCCATTTATTTGTGTGCACAATTGCTGCCACTGAACTTCGCAGTTGCGACTTATCTCGGGTGCTCCACGGCATCAGGCCTTTTGCGCCAGTCGAGTGTCGCGGCTGTGGTAACCATATCCAGTAAACTCGTTTTGTACAGGACATTGTGTCGCTGGCGGCCGAAGCAAATGTCGCAAAGCGAAGTATTTAACAAAGCCTTCTTGCAGCAAAAATGCACGGTACAGCTCTCCGTTCGTTGCAGAATGTATTTGCTTCCAGCATTCAGTTTGAGATCACGAATCGCCAATCGCGACGTCGTAATTTGGGATTGCTCGCAACGGAGACACGCAACGTTGACGCAAGTGCTAGCAGCTGCTCATCGGAAACAAATACGTGAACGTGTGCTCGGGAGTGATTAGTGAGAAAAGAGTACTAAAGTCATCTCCGAAGTGATCAATGACACAGTAGGAGCAGCACTGACGAAACCCTTGACTGTTTTCCAGTGTACTTCGGTGATCGTTGGTCCAGTTGCTTTCGAATATGAAGTTCAGCCTAATGAAACGTCTGACTTCATTAGAAGCTTTATATCTGGTAGCTCTGCTACGCGCCTGCGTACGAAGCGCTGAGAATACCGCCTTTGGCAGATTGCATTAAGATGCACAATGTGTCCACATAACAATGAAACCTGTGACAAGTCATGACCTCATCGACGTACAGGATTGAGCCCTTCCACAGGGAGACGATCTGCTGCGATTGTAGTACCAGTCAAAGCAGCTCTGTCAAAGACGTGAAAAAAAGGCGCCCGTGTCGGCGAACCGTCCGAAAGGACAGTTCTACTTTTCGCCAGTCTAGTGGGTACAATTGTGCCTGAGGATCCACGTAAGCAATGACTTCATCCATTTTTCACGCTTAGTTATAGTTTGCACACTTCTACTCTTGCTTAGATACGCACAATGTCGACCACATTGAAAACTTTATCCCGAATTGCCACGTTTACCTTGCACCTTTCCTAGTTTTTTCTGCAGCTGTCGCGCAGCGACCGTGCGGACAACCGCCTCACTAGCTGGTAAGTGTGCGAGTTTTTGGTACTAAAATCGTTTTGTACATCATTTTGCGTGTCTGAGCACCGTGATACCCATCAGTTAGTAGCTAGCACATTTCGTTGACTCTCGCGGTGACAGTGTCAATGTGTTCACGTCTTGCATTGCAGCGTGGGTTTGGCATCACTTTTATTTGCTCGATTTGACGATAAGTGCAAATAGATAATTCATCGCTCTTCTGTACCACGATTGCAAACCAAATTGTCACTCTGCAATACATAATGACCGAAAAAAACACCGTTTGCTACGAAACGGACCTAGCGCTGGCGGCGACAATCGTTTGGAGGGGCACGGTCGATATGGAAACGCTCAGAGAACACTCAGGATGCGGGCACGTGAAAATAAAACGGATATCGTGAGATACGCACAAGGATGCAGAGCCAGTATCTGCGCCATTACGAATAGTGCATGGCGTAGATAAGTATTGTGAATAACGCGGACAATGGTGCGAGATTATTTCTCCGTGGAACGTAGCGTCTACTCCACATTGACATCACAATGCAAGCAACTTTCAGCTCGATGGGCGGAAGCTCGCATCGCTGCTAAGACTCAAACATTTGGGCGTTGGAAGCGACACGACCGTATACTCGGGTAGGCGCAAAGACTACTGATGGTATATCGAGCACAGTTTAGCCATTGGCTGCTTTCGATAGTCTATATCAAGTCCTTGCACTATCCGGAACGAAACTAAAGCACGCGTGTCAATACTTTTCTGGTTCACAGCGTAGCGAGAATGGTACTGGCTTGAGCTGCTTAATCGTCAACCATTTCACGGACTTTTCTTCCAAGAAGATTATCAACCGACTTCATCTCCATTCGGGTCTGGGGTCTTATTGGACAAAATTACGAACCGACCTGCCCCATTTGCGTCGTCGAGCACAGATTACAAACCTGTTCCGCGGGCACAGCTGTCTTCGTGAGCTTGCTGATCGGCGTAAATCTAGGTGCACATCATTTTTCTGGTTAATGTCATCTTGCCGGCGAGGTATGTTTTGCGCGGGCATGTCGTGATCCTTCCTACTTAAGAACCACCTTAATAGGTTTAAAACACTGACGAGCTCTGAGATAAAAGCTGAGTGACTGCCGTCTTTGTAGATGCATTTCATGCGTCGATGCGCTGTCGATCTACCGATCTACAAATGTTAGCAGACGCAAGCCTTCAAGCTCTTTATATATGCCTCTCTGCATTGGATGCACACTGGCATCGTCATGGTTGCTATTCCATATTCATATTGTGCCATGGACGAAATCAAATCGATAAAAATGAGACTAATCACCAGTCGCGGAATTCCACTACGAAACGAGCAGTCGTCTGTGCTGTACCACCTTATCTCACAAGTTCGATGCCTCATCCATTGTAACTAAAATGGTAAATATTATACAACACTAAAGGGGATCACTATGACATGGCCCATCGGATCTCCCATAGGTGAGCTGTGAGTGCAGTGACGGAGTCTGAGCGAGTCATGTTCCGTACCCTTCCTAACACTACAAAAAGTCCTACTAGGGTCTCCAGCCCATCCTACGGTCACTCGCCCTTTAGGTGCATGTCTCAGCGCAGCTACTTATGGGCCGGTTGCTCGTCGATTGTTACAGGCGTATCTCGGGTACCTCTTGGTGGAGTTCAGTACCCGTGGAACCTCGCATCATTTTATTGATCTCCCCCCTGACAGCAGCTGGTTTCGAGGAACACGGTGTGGTTCACATCATAAACATCTCACAGCCAACACTTTTCACGGTCCAATGCTGCGGCAAATAGTCGGACGAGCAGCTACAGCGGCGCTGACTGCCAGTGCTCGCGTGACCTTCAGTAGCCCAGCGCTCTTGACCTCCTATTGTCGTTACACGCTCGTTGCTCGTGCTTTCAGCTCTGCAATAGGCGAGAAAGAGGTGCGTCTTGTACTATTTAGGCTTGTTTATAGTAACAAATAGGGATGCGTGGACGTATCTTCTGATAATTGATGGATTATTCAGGCATATGCAGCTTTTGAAAAGGCCAAAAAGCTGTTGGATGGAGATGACTTGCAACAGGCCATGGGGTGTCTAGGGGTGGCGGCACACGCTAATATTGCAGATGCGCAGTATCTCCTGGGCTCGCTGCTGCTGAACGGAGAGGAGGAAAAAGATGAAGACGAGGGCGAGGATCAGTGCAAGAATAAAGAGTTGATTCGTGATGCGGAAGACAATAGACAGCGTGTCGGACGTGTCGGCGACCCTGAGACCATTAAAGATATTCGGAAGAGTGCACGTGCTGCCTACAAACGATATTTGATGGAGCAGAAACGCAAGAAACGGGTCAAAGCGGCACAAACAGGTGATGATGCGCCGGTGGTGCAGCGCACTACGACTGGAAAGCTGGACCGAGCATTCGGCAAGACCATGGAGTTTTTGCTGGACCCGAAATCAAAGTTAGAGCCCCTGCTTGAAAACGGTGATGAAGAACACGCAGACGTTTTCAAGATGCAGCTTGACACGACAAAAGCTGTCGAATGGATTCGACGGGCAGCTGAAAATAGCAATCGTGATGCTCATGTTCAACTTGGCAACCTGTGTTTGAGTCATGACCCGCCGATGGCACTGGAGGCCACCGCCTGGTACACAAACGTGTCGAAAGTCAAGAATCCACATCCTGATGCGCTATACAACCTTGGTGTGATGTTGTTTGAGGGCGTTCATCATGCAGAACCACCATTTGTGGGTAACAAGAGTGCGGCGATCCCTTTCTTTACTCGTGCAGCAGAAGTGGGTGACGTGTCGGCCCAATTTTTCATGGGAGTGCTGCTGTGTCAGGGTGACAAGGATCTTGAAATCGAGCCAAACTTCACAAGCGGTCTCATGCTCATTGAGATGGCAGCGAGTAAAGGTCACTCCGGCGCTTTGTATTACTTGGCACAGTTGTATCGCTCGGGCGACAGCGTCAATGATATTGCTGCGGATCGTGCCAAGTTCCTCGAGCATCTGGACAAGGCTATGGAGGCAGGGGAAGCTGACGCGTTCTTTTGCATGGCAGACATCTACTTCCACGGTAGTGACGGGTTTGACCAGAATTATGAGCAGGCACGTCAATTTTACCTTGCTGCTGCCGAGCAAGGACATGCAGACGCATTCTGCTGTCTCGGTGCTTTGTACTACAACGGTATCAGCGTAAAGCAGGACTTCCAGAAAGCCTTTTATTACTATCAGGAGGCGGCTGACAGAGACTCGATGGAGGCCTGGAAGAACCTCGCCGAAATGTATACTGTTGGCCGTGGCGTCGCTCGCAACGAAGCTACTGCTAGTGCCATCATTGCAATGCTCAAGAAGGTCGAGACGAGCGAGCCAGCCAGCAGCTAGTTTTGTTCTCACGCGACAATCGAGCACGATTTACGTCTTGTCAAACGCCAGGTAGGCAACTGATGGCATTTGTGACTCGACGACTGTGAGAATTAGCTCCCGAATCGATGAAGCAGCGGTGCAGCATCGGTTGACGCAAGACTACGATCTCACGCCGCTGCGTCAAGAATTACTTCGGGTGGCTAATATTTTGATGGCAGATACCTTGGAAAAAGTCAAGGTCAAAACGTGGAGACAACTGTGTCTGCGGATACTGTAGCACGCTACCATGTGTAGCACGTCCATCATGAGCCATGTGAGTGCTGGCATAAGTCTTTCGCTCGATAGTGCTTAATCGTTTTAGATACTACCGATTTCGTTTACAATCCATCGATGGTGACGCAGTGGCACGTTGCTTGTCTCATAGAAGCTTTCGCATACTTTGAGGTTTCAACGGACATTTGCGTGTCTGCATGTTTGCTTTGAGTTTAAGCACGAGCCGAATCGCAAAACGTGCGCGAATGGATAGCACATGGCAGCTACCAATTTGTGACCTTTTTCACGGGGTTTTAACACGTGGCGCGTAGCCGAACAACTGCGTTTTCGCCATCGTACTATCACTCACCGTTGTGCCGCGAATGCAGTAGTCCATGCTGTGACAAGTTACAAAGCCTGATGAGCTTCTTAAAATCACTGGTCGGCCGATGCGGTAGCTTCTTGGTCGTTGCAAATGACGGCATGTAAATCTTGCTGGCGCTGGCGTACTATGACATGCGACACACTCTTACAGGATAGACAAACCGTTCGACATTTCAGTTGACCTCAAATATATTCGCAAAGTTTTGCATCAGACCACAATGCGATTCGAGACAGCTAACCCCCACAAGCTTGAAAACCAGGTACTTGCAACATTCTCTGCTGTCAAATTGCAGTAGATCTCGTGCGACGAGATCACTGCGTCTCTGTTGATTCAGACTTTTCAAAGCAGCCTCAGTCAAAGAGATTGAGTTGTGTTAATGTAAAGCACCAGCAATTCGTCTCCACAGAGACGCGAGCCGTAAGACATCTTCAGCTCACTGCGCTGCCTACAACAGCTCAGCAGGGGGAGGTAGTTCCGCAGGACTCGGAAAGAGCACCTCGGCTTGGATGGGATAGTGATCCGATGGGTACCGGCCGTTGCGGTCTTCGGTAATGACTTCCGTCGTCAGCACTTTCATCTCCGGACGGTAGAAGATCCAGTCGATGTGATTGGCCGCGCGGATAGCGGTCTTCTCTCCATCATTGTGAACACCAGCCCAGCCGTGGTACGTGAATGACACGTCACCGACCTGTTTCGCCGCTTCTGGCCAGGCTTCACGCAGCCTTGGCCCATCTTTTTGAGACGTAAAAAAGCTGTACGTGCTCGTGTGGCGATACGTGTTAAAATCACCCATCAGGAAGAGCGGTGCGTCGCCCGCGATTCGCTTCATGCGCTCCCAGAGCAACTTGGAGCTCTTCTCACGCGACTGATCACCTACGTGATCCAGCTGCGTGTTAAAGATGAACAGCTCTTGCCGCGTCGCTCGCAGACGAAACTTGCCCCACGTCACGCTGCGCACACACGCTGCATCCCAGCCTTTCGTTCCCGGTGTATCGGGTTCCTCCGACAGCCAAAAATCGCCACTGTCCAACCGCTCCAGTACTTCCGTGTCATAGAAAAGCTGCTCAAACTCGCCATTCTGCTCACGCTCGACACCAAAGCGCTCGTACGGGTGCTTCAACAAAGCCTGACCATTTACAATGCAGTCAAAACATCACGTCAACCAACTTGTACCCATCCACCAGCATCGCGTTTCTATACTGCAAACCAATATCTCCTGCACGCACCTCCAGCTCTGCCAGTTGCGTCTTCAGCCCTTCTTGCGTGCCCATTACTGCTGGATGGTACCGATTGATAATGTCTGCCACGTGCTCCTTGCGGTACTGCCAGCCATTCAGTCCATCACCCGTGCCAGCAAACCGCAAGTTGAACGTCATGATCTTAAAGTGCAGCGGCGAAGTGCTCAGCGCCTGTTTCTGCTGCGTCTCCATCTTGTCGTGCGTTGCACGAAGTGTCGGCCGCTGCTTGTCCTCCAACAGCGCAACAGCAGCTTGGGCTTGCTGGTCAATTCGTGGCGTCACGTTGCGGACGTTCTGGTAGCCTAGAAAGAGCAGAAACACCACAACAGTCCCAACGAGCACGTAGAAGCGGTCAGCCGTGGATGTGCCCGAGCCTTTCCGCGACTTGGAGTGCCGGTAGTACGGATTGTGCGTCGTCGCAGCCGAGGAGAAGGGCTCGTAGCTCTTCATCGAATGATGTCGATGCGTCTGATTTCCATCACGTGCAGCAACGGGATTGGTTGAAAGGCACGGATCCCTCGTTGCAGTATCAACGCCATCGGATTGGTCAAAAAGAAGAAACGAGAGTGACCTGCGAGAACGACTCGGATTGGCGCATATTCGAACAAGTTTGAAATGATGGCGGACGGCGCCGAGGCGCTGCGCACCATGGAGACGCACGCCATTCGAGAGGCGCAGCGGGCGACATACACGAGCAATTTGGGATCGATGGCGCTTGTGACTGCGTCTCTTCTATGGCTGACGCTTCCGCCGCTTTGGAGTGTCGTGAATGGCGAGTGGAGTTCAAGTATTGGGCGCTGTCTATTGGCTCTTACCGGTGCGGCCTCTTGCACACCGTTTGAAGCGGTTTTTGATGATGGTATTAATGGTGTTTGTGGTGCTTGATGCTGCAGGTCACGGTCTGTTTGTGCTGTCGATGTTGGTGGTGCTACGAGTAGCACAAGTGCAAGGAGAGGAGCTACTGATCCAGTTTAATGCCAAGGTATGACGTCAGTCTGTTGGTTAGTCTGTATATCTATCTAGTTATCTATCTATGTGTTGTATCGATTTATGGGTGAAGACTGCAGTGATGATACTGATTAGGAATCGTTCTGGTTTTAGTACTTGGCCAGAGTCACCAAACCAAAAGCTGTTGCTCCTGCATCGCTGGATCGCACAGCACAGCGTACGTCACCTTACTTGACCATTAACGAAAACGGAAGATCTTCTTCTTCTTACATAGTCTACTGTGTGGCTATGATGTGTATGTAGTGGAGGAAGTGACGAAACTAAATGTAGTGCGAGGACTGCTGTCTAACAAAACTGATTCGTTCGATGGTGTAAGGCGAGAGCAAGAACAGCGGTCGTTGTTTGATCCTGCTCCTGTTAGAACAGTCGAAGACGGCAAGGCGTACCTTCGTCGCATTCAAAAAGCGCGGAAGCACAAGGAAGCTGAAGAATCGATGCAGCCAGCTTATGGAATTGAAAACTCGTACCAGAGTGATGCTTATGGCATCTATGGTAACGCGTCCATGGTGCCTCGCGTGTATCAGGCGTCAGGCTTCGATCCATACCTTCGTGACGTCAGCATCGGAAACGATGACGAAGACCCGCTGCGCACATCGTCGCTTCCGCATATTGCGTGGCAGCAGCTGGAAGAATGGGGACTTGCTACGTTCATGCATCTGTACTGCCGCAACATTCGCCGCTTGCTTGCGTATCACGTAAAGGATGTTGTCGAGGCATTTCTGGAAAATGCAAGCGCCCTCAATGAGTGCGGTGTGATGGCGGACGTTCTTTTGCGTCGCGTACCGTCACAGGCTCTGTTGTGCCCACCAGGTCAAACGAATCAAATGACGAATGTATCGCTATCTGACATGCTGCATAACCTCGCAAAAAGCCCCCTGTTTTTCAGCAAGGAACGAGGCGTGTTTTTGTTCGAGGAGCACCAAAGTGTAAGTTTTGCTTTGTCTTGCTGTGTATCGAAAGTGAAACCCGAATACTATACGAGCTAAGATTGGTGTATGGATCTAGTTTGAGAAATACCTGAATGTAGGTAACCCCAGCAGCACGGACTACTCGTCGTTAGAACGTCAACAGTATGTCCTTGAGCGACTGATCATGCTATCGAAGGACCGCAGCCTTGATCGATTTCGTTGGAACAAGGGCGCCGCTTGGAAGGGCAAAGAGTGGACGGAGAACTTACCGACGGACGCCGAGATTTTGATGAACACTTTTTGCTGCTTGATGGACAACATGTTGCCAGCAGATAACGAGCGGGACCGACCGTTTTGGAAGTCGTACTACTTTAGCAAGGGCCCCAGCCGTCCGTTCACACCACGAGTACGCAGCCGCCTTTTCCTCGTCCAGACAGTGGGGCGCCCACCTCATTTCAAGGCGCTGGTGAAGGGTGCTGTTCGTGAAATCGTCCCGGTACGCTAGTTTATGCTATGGTCGTTGATGAATTCTGCTGATAAAGCGATTCTTTGTGCGTGCTGTAGGGTGAAGAAAATTGCTTCCATGCTATAGTCGTGTATTTACATGCCGTCAAAAAGATGAAGGCGGTGCGTACGCGTTGTAATCTACACGTTGATTGTACTTGCCTGTAGTACTAAACGTTTGCGCTTGCTAGGGCTACCTGGAAAGCATTAATTTGCACCGTATCATTGAGCAAGTCTTCGACGTTTCCAAGTAACACCGCTGAAGTAAGGATGTAGCCGCTGCTTTCCGACGTGTTGTTTTTTCATGACACGGGACCAGCCGGACATAAATCTCGACGCACCCAGCCGTTTTTGATACAATGTTTTTGGTGAGCTTTGAGGTTCTCTCGAGTCTTGAAACTCTTTTGACGTGCTGGTGGGCAATACGTGCACGCGTACGGCCGATCCGTTTGATGAATTTGTTGCCAGTGACGTTTCAGAGTCTGCAGGTTCCTCTTTTGCCCGTCGATTTCGCGTACTTGCACTGCTTGTCGGGGCAATGTTTGGGTCCTACGGGAATTCAAACCTGCTTCCCCACCACTTCTGTCATTGGCGACTGTGGATGGTGCTTGCCGTGAAAAGTGAGCTGACAGAAGTTGGTAAAGCGGTTGTGGCAGATACCGCATTCAAACGGTTTACAGCCATCGTAGAGCATTGCGACTGGAGGGGTCACTGCAAGCTGATCACTGATCACTATTGCAGGTGGAGCACTAGTTGCGGCAGGGACCGTAGAGAGCTGTTTGCGCAGCCGTACGACTTCAGCCTCCAGCAGTTCAATCTGGCTTTGTTGTGCTCTTATCGTAGCCTGATACTCTCTGCTCTCATTGAATGATGGAGTACCAACAACACTGGGCAAGCTCTCAATACCGTACCCGTGCCACTGCAGAGCACCTGCTTCATCTCCACCTCTTCTTGATTCATTTGTAGCGTTTCCAGTCGCTGGCATAGTGGCGAGAGCAGCTGCACGGTAAGCAGCGTGGATCTCCAAGTGAGCCATCAGCAATTCACGCACATGGAACCGTTTTCCGCATTCCAGACATCCAAACGGCGACATCCGCGTCTCTTGCAGCTGTGGAGCATTAGCATCGACCGCTGCTCGGACGCTTTCGCCCCGAATTTGTTGTGCAGTTAACGATTGTTCAGACGCATGTGACGAGCGGTGGGACGGCAACGCAGCGCATGACGAGTACCTCTTGCTGCAGCCGGGAACACGGCAAACATATGGCTGCTCGCCAGTTTGCACACGAAAGTGTACAACTGTGTGGTCCCTCAAGCGAGTACTGTCCTTGAACGATTTGCCGCACCCAGGATATGTGCACAAAAACTTGCGCAGGCGCATCGCACCAGGAATCCGCTTGCGCTTCCGGCTTGGCGCTGCTGGGGTAAGACTTGTAATCACAGCCGGTACTCGCGACGACGGAATCGCCTCCAAAGCGGCACCCATAGTCGTGCAAGCGCCGCAATGTAGTTTCTCCCGGCAACAGCATTAGACCATGGTCCGATGCTGCTACCTGACTGCTCGATTTCCTGCCTCTCGACCGTCTCTGGCTCCATTGCCCCCGTCAATGCTGCAGCACTAAAGCCATAACTATAGCGGCAAGAGCGACTCCCCACGTCAGTTTCGACAGGTTCAGCACCGAACCCACTGAACCTGTCGAGTTCAATTGCAGAGCTCGTAGGCGAACCGTCGTCCATTCGTGGCATGGCACATGTGACTGGTACCAACTGTCTGGGCATCAACGAGGCTGTCAACCAACTCGACATCGGCAATGGCCACGAGTCAGCAGTCCCAGAAGCTGGTGACGTCGCACAATTGGCTTCCGTCTTGAAACTTGGAGCATGAAATGGACCAGGAGACGCTCGATGACTCTCTGCGTACAACAACAACAGCAATTACAACAACAACAACAGTGGTGACCACATAATGGAATCAGCATGAACAGTCGTAAAGACCACGGAGCTGAGTAGGACAATCACCTTTGTAAAGAGCAGACAATGCTCCTGAAGTAGCTGGGACATTGCAGTCGCGACTGCAAGAGACGAAAGATGGGAGCGAAGTGCTCGCTAGCGCCGGCGCTGAAGTAGCAGGACGGATGTCCATTGATCGGGAACGACGAACTCGATGACTGCGCTCAGATGATTGGATAGAATTAGAGCGTCCGACACGATGGTTGGCTGAAACGTAAGTCTATAAATGGCGCTTACGAAATTAACTAGAAGTCAAGGTCCTTTAGGCTTGACCACTTGGTCATGTACAGACACGAGCGGGGCGAAATGACGTTTCCTTCCTGGCATTGATCAAATACCTGATTCAAATCGACAAACGTCATGTCAGCACAGACGAGGATGAATTGCAGTGGCTGAAAGAAGAAGGGTTGCGCACCGGACAGACGCCGCAGGGAGTCTCCGACAGGTAGTTGAATGTCGTAATTTGTTGCGACACCTTGTACTTTGCTTCGTGAGATGCCTGTACACACAGCAATGACGTCAGAAAACGATGACCCTGCTGAGCGCGTGGACCAATGTGCGATGCAGAGGCATTACGTACACCAGGTGTTAGACGCACGGAGCGGACTTCCTCGACGCGACCGTCGTACATGAGCATCTGGATGATGGAGCCAATTTCCTCGGGACCCAACGCCACCTTGGAGATACCTGATGCATGCACCTTGTCTGTAATCGCGTTCAACGTACTCATTCCCGAGGCCTTGATCACTTCGTACACAAACGTGCTGAGCGTGTCGATAAACACGTGGTCAAACTCCTGCTCATTGTACCACGGACCACCAGTAATTTCCGTCGAAGGCACTACAGCCAGCCAGCCAGCGACAGAACGTTACAGTCAGAATAGACGAATATTTCATCAACACGGCATTTCGTTCGTTTCCTGCGTACGGCAGAGCAGCCTTACCCAGGTCAAACAGCATATACAGCTTCTTGTTTTTGCTGCTAATGGACTTAACCGATTTGACCAGACGCCGCGTCTCGAGCAGCCGCAACGTCTTCGTCACAATTTGCTACAAACCATACCCCACCGACACACCCATTCATTCACAGCAATTAATTTCCACACATCTCCAACCTCAGCTGGCATCAATTCATCCAAAACGACCCTAATCGCACCTGTGGAATGTTCGTGTGCGTCTTGATATCCCTCGTCCAGATCCCTTTATTACCTGCACGCTCAATCTCCTGCAGCACTAGACGCTGCTCCAACCTGCCACCGCATCATAAAAGAAGAACGCCCGGAACCCCATCACCCCACGCCTCAGTATCATCCCATCACCATCAAAAAGGCCAGTGAGCCTCCCCCCCCCTTTGCAGCAACCAAGCACCATACGTGAGTCCCCGGATCCGTTCTGCCTCTTCTGCGTCGACAATTCCATACGAAAGCACGTTCCCTTTCTTGAAAATCTTGATTTTGCCTTCGCCCAGGAGCGCGTTGATGACGTCCGGCAGTTGCTCGTAGCCCCCGCCGCCGCCTTCCGCCCGGAAATAGTCGCGCACTTCCGTGTCGGTCACAGGCTCTCGGAAGTTACGCAACAGGCCCAAGAACTTGGTCAGGACGCTGGGCGGCGTGCCGCTCGCAGCCGTCGACGGTGTCATGACCATCCGTGCGCGCAGGTCGACTCGACGCAGTCCAAAGTTCGTGAACGCGTCTTCTGATTGGCTACGGGCTTTATCGCGCCTTTTGGATTGGCTGAAAAGGGATCCACGGGGTGCCAACCAGTTGGTCCCGACATTTCGAGCTGCTGATCAAGGCATTAATTGTTGTTGTTGGCTCAGTCAGATGAAGTTCGCCTACCAGTTCCAGCACTTGTGCGGCAGCGTGTACTCCCAGGGCAACGTGGCGTTTACGCCCGATGGAAACTCCGTGCTGAGTCCGGTTGGTAATCGAATCACGCAGTTCGACCTCATCAAGTACGTCCCGTGTCGCCAAAATTCACAGGATCAGCACCAAATTTCATGTTAACATCTGTGAAAATTGGTGTTGTTTCCGATTATTATTGTGATTTTGTGATTTGTCTAGCAATACGTGCCGGACGTTTGCCTTTGAAGCGCGTAAAAATGTCGAGCGGATTGCCGTGTCGCATGATTCGCGGCTCTTGCTCGCGGTGGATGTCGATGGTCGCTGTTTGCTCGTGAGCTTGAAGCGTGGCGTTGTGCTCTACCGCTTCCACTTTAAACAGCCTGTACGCGCGCTGAGCTTTAGTCCGGACAATGGCTACATTGCAGTAGCACTTGGCAGTAAAGTGCAGCTGTGGCGCACGCCTGGGCTGGTGCGTGAGTTTGCGCCGTTTGTGCTGCACCGCACGTACACGGGCCATTACGCAGACGTGGTGAGTGTGTCGTGGTCGCATAGTGCCAAGTTTTTCGTGACGGGCGCCGAGGATCTCTCGGCTCGGGTGTTTTCGGTCGACCCGTACCCGGGATTCAAACCGCTGACACTTTCCGGACATCGAGACGTGGTTGTGGGTGCTTTCTTTGCCAAAGATGACCGATCGATATTCACCGTTGGACGAGATGGTGGCGCGTTCGAGTGGAAATACACACTGCCGGACAATGATAGGCTCGAGCAGGTCTTTGATGAGAGCGAGGAGGAGGACACGGATGAGGTTGAGGAAGAGGGAACAAAGGAGGAAGAAAGTGAGAGCAGCAGTGACGATGAGAGCAAAGGTGATGATGTTAGTTTGGACAAGAAGCGCACGCGTGAAACGCTGGAGGAGCAGGACGCTGTTGTGCCAGACATTGCGCGTGCCATTAAATGGTATACTTGTCAGAAGCACGTGCTCAAGATGGACTTTGCCAAGGTGTTGTGTTGCACGTTTCACTCCTCGACAGGCATGCTCGTAGTGGGCTTTGGCAATGGCACCTTTGGTTTGTACGAACTGCCAGCATTCGTGAATATCCATACGCTGAGTGTCACGCAGAATCAGCTGGAAACGGTCGCGGTGAACGCTACCGGCGAATGGCTGGCCTTTGCATCGTGCAAGCTTGGACAGTTGCTAGTGTGGGAATGGCGCTCAGAGACGTACGTACTGAAGCAGCAGGGCCACTACTTTGACCTGAATGCAGCCAGCTACTCGCCCGACGGACGGTTGCTTGCTACAGGTGCCGATGATGCGAAGCTCAAGCTTTGGGACACAAACAGTGGTTTTTGCTACGTTACGTTCACGGAGCACTCCGCCCCTGTGACCGCTGTGCAGTTTGCTCCCTCGGGTCAAGCCGTTTTGAGCTCATCTCTTGATGGCACAGTCCGCGCATTTGACTTGAATCGATACAAAAACTTCCGCGTGCTGACGACACCAGAGCCCACGCAGTTTCTATCGCTCGCGCTGGATATGAGTGGGCAGGTGGTTTGTGCAGGGTCAATGGACCCGTTTAATGTGTACGTTTGGTCATTGCAGACTGGTCGCCTAACGGATGTTCTCAGCGGCCACAGTGGGCCTGTAACGTCGCTCTCGTTTTCGCCGTCGTCCTCTGCTGAGCCTATCCTTGCGTCGGCTTCCTGGGACCACACAGTGCGCCTCTGGAATTTGTTTGCCAGCAAGAAAAACTTTATCGAACCTCTCGACCATCCCACGGATGTGCTATCTGTGGCATTCCGTCCGGACGGCAAGCAACTGGCTTCCACAACGCTGAACGGTGCGATTAACATTTGGGACGTGAAGGATGGCGAACAGGTTGGAACGATCGATGGCAAGCGCGATATTGCAGGTGGTCGCAAAGACGGTGACCATATCACGTCGGCTAACAACCAGCTCACAAAGTATTTTACGAGTGTCTGCTATTCGGCCGACGGCTCACTTCTTCTGGCTGGTGGACGGTCCAAGTTCGTGTGCATTTACGCGGTGGAGCATCAAATTTTGCTGAAGAAGTTTCAGATTTCACACAACCTGTCACTGGATGGTATCCTGGAAAAGCTTAACAATAAGAACATCACAGAGGGCGGCCTCAGTAAGAGTGAGCTGGACGCTCATTTAGATGACTCGGAGGCATTGGGCCGCGACGGTGGTGCCGACCTTGTGGGTGCCAAGCGTGCTGTTGATCCGGGCAGCCGCCGCACGAACATGGAGGTGATGTCCAAAGCCGTAGTTTTCTCGCCCACTGGCCGTGCTTGGGCTGCTGCCACCAAAGAAGGTCTGCTTATCTATGGACTTGACGAGAGTCTTGCCTTCGACCCGTTCGAGCTGGACGAGGATATTACACCGGAAACTATCACCCGAACGCTGGCTCAGCGCGAGTACGCTCGTGCCTTGGTAATGGCACTGCATTTGAACGAGGAGCCGCTTATTGCTCGATGTGTGGAAGGTGTTCCACTTGCAAATATTCCACTTGTGGCACAGACGCTTCGCGGCGAGACGTACCTGCAACGGTTGCTCCAGCTTCTAGCGAAGCGGATGGAATGTAGCCCGCACCTCGAGTTTTACCTTCAGTGGAGTCTATCTGTGCTGAACACGCATGGCCAGACCCTGCGAGACGATTCATGCAGCAGTGCCACATGCCTTCCGACTCTGCGTTCACTGCAAAAGAGCGTTGCGCATCATCTGCAGGATCTCGCCAAGATGTACGTTTTCCATTCCCATTTGAGAAGTGTGGTAATCTGCACACGAAAGCTTACTTTCTGCATTTGACGTCCGTGTGTTTTACAGTTGCGATGATAACCAGTTCACACTCAGTTATCTCAAGAATCTCAGCAGGATGCAGCAGCTGCAGCAAGCCCATTAGACCAAGCAAGTGGAAATGTGCTAGACCCCGACGTCTACTTATCAGCTGTCGACGGGGGATGGGGCTTGCTTCAGACGGGGGGGGGGATGGGGCTTGAGTCGATAAGTCGATCTGCTCGCGGAAGATGTAACGATCACAGTAATAAATAGATCCATTTGTGTTCCTGCATACTGGCTCCGTTCGTCAGTAGATAGCGCTCGCCTCGACGTTTTGCCGTACAGCGTTGCTCGGGTCATCGGTCTCTATCCCCATCTGCTTGGTCGGCGGGAATCCACATCTTGATATCGCGGTTTGAGCTCGAGACCATGAGCGCACGCGTCGGATGAGCAGCAAGCGCCAGCACCGGATAATCCTGTTCAGACAAGATGGAGACCACTTCCTGCGATGCCACGTCCCACATGACAATGCGATGATCTTCCGAGCCACAGACAACGACCGGCTGTTTGCTTTCCTGCTGCTGCAAGAAGACGCACTGCATTCCGAATTTGCGGTTCACGTGGCCACTGTATGAGCGCACGCAAACATCGCGCACGTAGTCCCACAGACGCAGCGTGCCATCCAGTGTCGAGCTTAGCACGTACCGTCCATTCGGCGTAAACCGCACACTCCCCACCGGTGCTGCTGGCTCCGTGATGATTGAGCGCATACACTGCCGAGACGCCACATCCCACACACGGACAATGCCGTCATAGCCACCAGATACGAGCAACGAGCCGTCTGTCGGATGGAACTGCACGCTTACCACGGGCTCTTGATGGGCTCCAATGACTGCCACCGTTTTGCCACTGCGGACATCCCAGAGCCGCAGACTTTCATCATGCGAGCCTGTCGCCACGAGCGACCCTTGTGGGTTCAATGCCACACAGCTCACAAAGTCCGTGTGCGACTCAATTGGTGCGTCCGACGATATCACAGCGGCGTGCAGTCCGTCCTCGTCCAGTTTCAAGGTCCCTGAAGCCCCTTTTAGCATCGACAATGGCGTCCGCAGAGCCGCGTCCAAGCTCCGGTGGGCAGCGCCCAATGTAGCGAGCGTCTTGGCCGTCTCAACGTCCCAGAGCCGCGCCGTCCAGTCGTCCGAGGCAGACGCCACGTGACGCGAATCAGAAGACCAGCAGCAGTCCGAGACTCCGGCTTCATGTCCGTACAGAGAGGTCTTGACGGCTAGAGTCGTCATCTGTTCGTCGCAATGGGATTTCAATTGCCAGATCTTCACGCTCGAGTCAGCAGCTACAGGGATGTTATTGCAATAGACGTGATAAAACGTTGGATAAATGAGCGGATAAAGTGCAGGGATGAGCAGCGAGAGGGGGTAGAAGGTAGAGCAATTGCAACGTACAGGAAGAAGCGAGGAGCGGTTCAGTGGGAGAGAACGCGAGGCTCGAGATGGCGCGTCTGTGGGCCGGCAGCGTCTGCTGCGCTCGCCAGGTGACGGTCATCAGCGTTTTCGGGACGTTTGTATGGGATTGGCTTTTATCCGGTATGATTTTAATCGGATGTGATATTTAAATATCGGTTAGATGGATAAACTCGCATACTTGATACTGTACGACCAACAAATTGACAAAACCTTCGAGAACGTCAGCGTTATTTAAAAACTGGACGATGACTGACTCGGACACCTCACGGTTCGAGGTGCTCGAGGAAGAGACGCACTTCCCTGTGACGCGCCCCCAAAGTACCGGGAAGAAGATGGCAGAGAATGAAGGGAACGAAGCAAGCGAAGATCTGGCAGCAGGCGAGACGCTGGAGCAGCAGCTGGCCCGACTTATGCTGAGCGTCCAATTGGACGACAATTCCGACGCGCCATCGGATATTGCTGAAAATTGCACGGAAAATGTCAAAAAAGCTTCTGCAGCGAAAGAACTTGGAAATAAGTGCGGCATGCATTGTGTTTTTATTTCTGATTGGGTGTGGGTTATAACAAATACGTGAACTGATACGGCAAATGTAATGTGTCAGATTTTTCGCTCGTGGCAGTTACTTGGACGCTATTGAGTGTTACACGACGGCACTTAAGCTCTGCCCTTCTGAAGAAGAGTATGCGTACAACAGGGTACAGTCCAATCCAGCTACTCTATCAAAGGCTGATCATGTAGTACTTACCTCTTGATTGTTTGTTTTTTGCAGGCTGTGTACTTCAGCAACCGAGCCGCTTGTCTCTTGCGGAGTGGACGGACGGAAGAGTCCATTGATGACTGCACAGAGGCAGTGACGCTGTCGCCTACTTATGTGAAGGCTCTTTTACGACGAGCAGAAGCTTTTGAGAAGATGGACAAACTGGAAGAGGCGGTTGCTGACTACGACGCGGTGCTGAAGATCGATGCGACGGTTCCTGCGGCTGTGAAGGGCCATGACCGGTTGAAGACGATTGTGCAGGAACGTCAAGAGAAGATGAAGGCGGAGATGCTGGACAAGCTCAAGGGCTTTGGGAACACGATCTTGGGCAAATTTGGACTGAGCACCGACAATTTCCAGATGGTACAGGATCCTTCGACAGGATCATACAGCATAAACTTCCAGCAGAATCCGGGGCAGCCAGACCAGCCCCAACAACATGGCAAGTAGTCCGCTCATCGGCAGCACGCTTTGGGGCGACGGACACGCACTCTAGTGACTCTCGTAAAGCTGTTAGTCTGCCGTTTTAGCGTACTCGAAGCAGCAAAGAGTGCATAAGATGTAATCGAAGCGATACCTGAGTAACTCGAACATTGTCAAGCGATGAACTCGTCAACATGTATGAAGAACGTGGAGACTCGACTTACTATTTTTGTGCCGGCTATTTGACCCGTGTAGGATCAGCCTTGAAAGGTCGTTGTTGTCTACCAGCTAGCAAGCCACAGCTGCGAATGGACCGTATGGCTGTGGCAGTAAACTAACGGTACTAAAACTCCAACGCAAACGTAGGTTGAAACGACACAAGAAACCTTGGACATTCCTACGGAGCATTTAATGTACGACTGGTACGGTATCAGAGCATTACTGCGTAGTTTGCTCCCTAACAATGTTGTTAGGATGAACTCATGCGCCACCTGCGCGTTTAAAGTTACCTCCGATTCATAACAGCTCGGAGATGAAGCTGCACGTCTTACAACAGACGACCAGCTTGTCGTCCACACCCGTACTAAGAACCTTATAAGCAAACAACCACTTCAATTGCGCATACACACTGGTTCTTCCCCGTCCATCGGCCCATACTGTATCGCTTACAGCATCAGACTACAGCACTAGCGACTATGAATGGGATCGTAGGGGAACCGGTCACGTCTTCCGGAGCGCACCTTTGCAAGGGCCACAGCAATCAGCACCACAATAAGGACACTCAGCACAGCAGCAACAGACCCTTGTACGAGCGTCGCACGCTCACCATCCTCCGTCACTGCAAACGACGTCGCTGTCTCAACTCGCGTCTGCCATGGACGATCCGCATGCCGACTCAAGATGTAGTCGTACAAGTCCTTCGTCGTGCCGGTTCTCTCACTGAATAGCGGCGTGCCACCCATGTAGACTGTGGTGGCCTTGTCGCCATACTCGTTCAATCCTTCAGCAGTAATCCAGGCGTCAATGGCCTTCTTTTCCTCCTCAGAGACCTCCTCAACTTTTCCTTCCACCCCGTCTGTAGCTACACCACCACATGCAAAATCACATACTCAACGTCACCACAAGGTCTCAAGAAGTAGCTTTTGCATTGCAACCACGTCCTTATCGCTCTCGCTCTCCTCTAAGAGACTGCGAGATCCGCACACGCCTACGTACTGGCGGTCCCCTCTTCACTGTCACCATTGTCGCCTGTACCTCCTTCCGCCACCTCCTCAATGCCCGTGACCTCGGGCGCACCCGTTGACAGCTCTTCAAAGACCACGACCTGAAACTCCGAGGGCGAACAGTCCTTCAAAGTGTCCTCCTGACACTCGCCGTTCGAGGTCGCGACGTCGCAGCCGCTGATGCGGAAGCGGTAGTTGGTGCCAGCCACCACCTGCGTCTCCACCGACAGCACGTCCGAATAGCACACGCGCGTGTCACCCACTCGGGTCGAGTAGCGCTCGCCACTGAGCGCTTGATTCAGCAGATTCACGTTGGTTTCCGTCACTTCGGTGGGTTGCCAACCACCCAGGAGCTTCACGTTCACGACGTTGCGCGCTGTGGCGAGAGCAGGGACAATCGCGAGGAGGGGAAGAGCGACGCGCATGATGGTGTCGAGAGGTTCTTAGGGTTTGGGATTTGGTCCGGAGGATTTCGTTCTTCTTCTTCTTCTTTGTTTTCGTCTTGTGCGCTTGCTGGCTTTTTCAGGAATGAATGAAGCGGTTGGGAGAGTCGCATGTGGCGTTCGTCTGTGGGTTTTTTGAAGGGGTTGTGGGTGTTTTGAAGGGGTTGTGGGTGATGTGATGATGACCGAGTGATGATGGGATCGGGGAGAAGGAGTGCTGATTTGAGACCAAAAGAATGAGTTGTTTATAGGTTGGGGACGAAAAAGCTTGATAAAAAGCATTTTTTATGATAGGAGCGATGCAACGGTTTAGGCCGAACTGGAGACTCGGTCTGCTGCGATGCGGCCGAAGTCTCGACTTGCTCCGCTTCACGCTCTCCAGCGCCATGTGATTTGGAACTTGATGCGTGGGATCGTTTGCAGCATCGGAAATGTGGCTGTGATTGCTAGTTGATTAAGTCTACTTGATGCAACCATCTTTGTATAGCTTTAGCTTTTAATAAAAATGTCGGTAGTACTTGTTGGACATTGTTGAGCTTGCACTTGATGAAGTAGAAAGGAAACTGATATTCAAAGGTGTCGTTATTATTCAGCTGTCCCACACGCTATCTCACACTTTATGTTTCTGTATCTGCCGCTCTTACTAGATTGACTTCCTGTCGCTGCGCCACCCTTCGCCACCACCACTCGACGACTCGCTTCCTGCCTGTTGGTAACTGCAAGCTTCTTTACCCATCTTTGCAGCTCCTTCATCTGTTGACTTCCCTTTTATACACATAAAAAACAGTCGCCACAACCAACTTAATCTGGCATGTCGTGCCGAACATCGTGACTGCTCATCTCGATCTTCAACACTATCTTCTCAAGTAGACACGGCCACGCTGGCCACGTAACCATCGTCTCTCTTAATATGTGCTTAGCTAGACATATCAATGTCACTCTCTGTCACTGAGGATCGCACGAGAAAACAAGTTGTGTTATATCTCTATTGCGACCTGTGTAGAGCACATCACATGAATACACTACTCTAGGAACAGGCATCTGTGCCGGTATAGTAGTTCAACTCACTATCGGATCTAATGACTACCACTTCAGGTAATACACCTGAATTTAAGGTCAAGCCAAACTCATCCACAGACATTTCGTCTAGCTCCAACAGAGAATTCAGTGATGGTAGAGTCTCAAGACTCACTGCACTGACACATCAACGTCACCGGTCAATACATTAACGATTGGATGCACCTGCTCACTAGTATCACTCAGTGACGCAACAGACTCCTTGCGTTTCATAACAGCAATCTGGCGTCTCTGTCGTCTCTGTGACAAGATTGAACGTCTCAAAGAGACTGGAGCTTTCTCGCTATCAAGTTTAATATCATCACCACCATCCTGAGCTTGTTCTGTACAAGAGTCGGTGTTCTTACCGACACCTGGGACATCAAGGTCTCCTAAATTAGCCTATCAACCTTAAGATGCTCATTACCAGAGCCGATGTCATTGCCGACATCCGGGACTACACTGTCCCCATGGTGACGAACTGCGTCAACCTTAATTTGCCCAGTATCAGAGCCGATGTCATTGCCGACATCTGGGACTACACTGTCCCCAAGGTGATGAACTGCGTCAACCTTAATTCGCTCAATAGCAGGACCGATGTCATTGCCGACATCTGGTGATGAGTCACTTCCAGTGATGTCACCACCCAGTGGATACTTACGTGCCACTCCACGCTCATGAGATGGGTTCAACCCATGATGACTTGGTATTCACCAACAGTACATTCATCATTCATTGATTTATCATCACAACGATTATCACTCGAAGGAGTGCATGCCGTTTCACTTACAGTCAACGAGATTGGCTTGAAACTAATGTTTGACATCGTCCAACTCAATGAGTTCAGCCATACCAATGTCCAGCACACTGGTTGCTTCAGTCCGTGGCTCGCACCAACAGCGCTTCTGTTTCCTAGCAGAAGTGAGCTCATGACTCTCCAAAGTTCCACTAAGGACAGCGCGCATTGCGACTAAGGTCTTTGACCTCCAATCAATCCATGGACCATAACGTTCTAGCCAAGCCATACCAAGTATGATATCATACCTCTCATCCAAGTCAAGGACTAGACAGCGTTCGATACTGTCAAAGTCTGAAAACTTTACGCCTAAGTTCACAGAAACTTTAGGCATATTGACTGATGCACCTGTCGCAAGCAAGCAGTGATATTTTCATTCTTTCGCGCTTTCAGCGCCTCAGCATACTGCTGCCTTCCTTCCAGGTAACAACGTTGGACGTAGCTTCCCGATGCCCTGGAGTAGATCAATATTGACCATGGCTTATCAAAGCCCTTTACTGTTGCTTTCGCTAGTTTTTTTAAAATTTCCTAAAAAGATCTATCAAGTCTGGCTTGTACTCATGCTTTGTGACATTGCTCACGAAGCCACTTGGAGCTAGTCCCTCTTCTCCATCACCTCTCGTAGGTACAACAGAGCCTAATCCTCCCCGGCAGGGCACCCCGTTCCTACTAGGACTCGACGTTTTTCCTGGCCTTACCAACTCGTTGCTTAGCGACGGGAGGTCAGCTTGAGTGAGCCTATCTGGTACTTCTCAAAGGAAAATTGAAGCAATGATGTTTGATGCTTCCGCACGTAAAACATCTACGGATGGTTGAACGCTGTTAGACAGCTTACATATCAGCTTTTTCGTCTCTCTCAGCGAGACTAAGGTCCATGGGTTCTGCCCTATCCATGAGATGAGCATTGCTCGACGAGTTCAATTGGAGCCCATGAGTCCCATAACGGGCAGCTTTAAAGTTGAACTCTGCGTTCAACTCCATGTCCACTGCACCCTCAAGTGTCAAGGGTTGTGTACGAAGCACTTCTGTTCTGGAAACGACAGTGCGAAGACCCTCCATGAAAATGGTTACTAGAACCGTCTCAGGTAAAGGGTAAAGATGCATAGCAGCCATGAGAGTTCGCAACCCCTGGACATAATCGACTAAGTCTTTTTACCCTAGAGGGTTGACAGGAAGCGTGATCGCACGCGATATGAATGATTAGGCGGGGCAAACATTCGAGATAGCTGCTGTTTCAGCATGTCCCAGGTGGGAAAAGCTTCTTCTATCGAGGTGCCAGGAGTGAAAGCCCACTCCCTGGCTCACCCACCTAACTTCGATAGTGCCAGGTCCATCGTTTGCTGCTCTGACCGCAGCAGGGTCAAGCTGATGGTAACATCCATATCTCGATCCCACAAAAGGGGATTTTCTCCCTCTTTTTCCTCGTACGTCTTGACACTTAAGACCAGAGGGCGAGTCCTTGAATCAGTATCCGGTATTGGAACGTACCGAGTGGGCATGGCAGATGTCAAATGGTCATGAACTTATCCGATCAACGTGGATTCAAACTTCGAGAAGGCATCGAGACGTGCACGAAGTGCGTCCGGTCCTTGCTCCACTATACGATCCACTTGATCGTGCCTGATCAACGCCTTGAGCTTCTAATAGCTTGATGTGCTGGGCCTCAGAGAGGTTCATAGCCGTTTCAATCCTCGCAGAGGATTCAGTTTGTGTAGACTCAGGTGTAGATTGACTACAAGTGCTACCAAGTGTAGCGGATCTACTTAGCGCTTCTTAACAGAGACAGTCTTAGAATCAAAGAGCCTATCAGTTATAACAAACTTACAATGACGCATAGTCGGTCATGCGTACAAGCTTAACAATTCCGGTTCCAAAGGGATTACGATTCACAGAATCACGCACTAGCTAGTCACTACTAGTTAAACAAGAGTAAGCGCCTTCACAAGGATAATACTCCAAACAACAAAATACGTTTTGACTAGGCACAACTAGCTTCTAACGATTCAAAAGGGGCACTGAACTTTATCTATCCTTTAACTACGGTAATAAAACCATAAAACATTGTCGGACTGACTTCTACGTTGCAATCCTATGACAGAAGTCTGATCCCTTATCCATAAACGATAAGGTGCGGTATTACCGTAAGTACGTGGTACCAAGACTGTACCACTCAGATCCGCCGATCTTTACTTGATGTGGACACACAACATAACCGGTTCAATAACCGCCGTGTAACCCTGTTACACTGTCAGTCAAACATGTGCGGCTGTGGCGGGTGAGTGTTGATAGTGTCGCACTTTTGTTTGATTACGTGCACATCTTTTGTTGAGACCCTTCGACCACAATGCTTCAATTAGATTTAGCGCTATATGCTAGTGAATTGCTCTAATGTGAAATTTAAAAGATGAGCCAGTCGTCATTTGTGCTATCAGCAGATCCAGTCTTAAATCTACCGATTATTGCCGCGAAGGAGTTAAATTTGTCGTTACAACGACGAATCAGTTAGGGTACGGTTGACCATGTGACTCAATTTATCCGTTCCATGGCATCGTAATGGAGCGGAAAGGCGTGGAAGTTGAAGTCTGATGTAGCTCGACGATGATCTGGAATAAACGGAAACTTCATCACCAGTCGAACAATTACTATATTATATCCTCGTCGAAAATAGTCAACTGAAAGTCTGTGTGATGCCCCGAGTGTTCGACTATTTCAGATCACAACTAACGCAATTAGGAGCCATCCCGACCAGAAAGTGTGTGGTCAAAGTATGTAACACTCCATGGGCATATAGGAGAGTTCGGTGTCTGAATAAGGCGTACGGAAACTACTCTGTGCAGCAGAGGTATAATTATCGACGCATATAGCCGCATGTTTCGTTTGTGGTAGCCTAGTCGATTCGTCAAAACTGACTCCAATTGTCCGCCGCTTTGCATATTCAGCCGTCCTATAAATGCTTACGCAAGTGCATATGACTCGATAACATGCTTTCTGTGTTCTAAAGACGCCTCGATCGTCCCCAAATGCTCGAACATCTTCGCGCGCGCACCGTCTAAAAAGCCGAACTAGCATGGAAACCTATACATGTGGTATGGGAAGTACCAGGAGTGATGTTCCGAGTGACCAGTAAATG